GAACCATGTCTTCAAAGTGCTGCCGGGTATCCCACATGACGAGAGCAGTATCTGGGTAGTCAATGCGGTCGACTTCCAGTCCTATATAGCATCAACGCATGCATAAAAAAAGTATAAACACGTGAAAATAAACTCCATAAGTCTAACATATGTTTGTAACGAAAGGAAACGCTGCGCTGCAGATGACGCCAACAGAGACCGTGCATAGTATACTATGACGCAGGGTGGTGTATACTAGTAGCTGTACACTAAGAAATATAAAGAGAAGAGATGTACCCTCTGTTGGTGCTAGCTTAAAGAAACTCTTATACTTCATCCATTTTATAATGGATGTTTTTCCTGCTTGGGCGGGGCCAGCGACACGGATCTGGTGGACCTTCTTTGTACAGCACAGACGGAGAGTGCTTGAGAAGCAGCTATTGAAAGCCCCCATTTCGTATTCTGCTCTGCAACCAAAGTACTTGCTGGCTACGTCTGTTGTTGCACCTCGCACACACGCGATAAAGTTTTGCCTCGCCGGGCAGCTGTTTACTTCAAAGGGTCAACACAACAGGAAAGCTGCTAGCCGCTTCAGCTTGATGAGCCTGGAGAATGAAAGAACACGTCAACTGATGATAGAAACCACGTGAAAGCTGCGATGGATGCACTCGCAAGAATGCCATGGGGAGCTAGCTCGACAAGCAGCTCAAGCGGAGAGAGCCGGCACCACCACAGATTGCGTTGAAAGAAAGATAAAGCCAAGTCTTCGTCCCGAGATGTCCATGCACACTAGGTGGCCAGCAGCATGGTGGCGCTTTTCTATGGCGAGGCTGCCGGGTGTCAACGCATCACAGTCAAATATGCATGCGCCTCTTCTGTACAAGGCGCATGCTACTAATGCCGCACATTAAGAAATACTCGGCTTCGACGCAATAAGTACGTTGCTGTACATACACTACAAGTCAAAACTACACAATCCCCAAATCCTTGAACATGAATTCTTCAGTTGAGGTGTATGAGAGCTTGCCGTGGGCGGCAATGGAGTCACAGCCGCCTGCGACCGTGATCAAGAGACGGGTTTTTTGGGGTATTTAAAGTACCAATAAGCCGAAATTAGTTAAAGTTCTTCGATATGCGGCGTGAAATTCAATAAAACGCTGCGGATGATGACTTTAGGTTGGCCGCGATCAGAGGCGCCACAAGGCAGCGACCACAGCCAGCCGGAGGCCTAGCTGCCTAAAATTCGTCCGATCCGTAGAAATGTCAGTACAAATGAAAATAGTTCACAACACTCTATACAAAAATGTCACAGTTGGCATCTATTGCTCTCACCGAGCTGAAAGCAGTAAAAACCACCTTGAATCAGGGCCTTGCGCGGCGCGCGGCCGCAGCCCTTGCAAGAAGACCGGTGCATGTACATTCATGAACAAAAACATGAAATGAATATTATTATCTATGAAAAAAAACAAAGAATTTCACATACAAATCAGTTTAGCTCGTGTGATGCCTCCAATTCAATACTTTCTAATCGGGGGGTGTGGTATACGCACGGTTCGCGTACTTTTCTGCAGTCTCGTTTTTCTTTTTTTCAATACTTGAGAATTTTTTCATGAATTCAGAATGCATCATGATCTTATACTCCAGAAGAGATCAGAAGAGGTAACAACAGTACCTTCAGCCTCCCCGCCGTGTGTTTGTACCCGCCTCACATCGGCTACGTCGATAAAGTAATATTTATTCAACAAAATGAAAAGAAAGATATTC